CCTCATATGTAAAGTAAAAATCTTGGTGATGACTTAAATTTTACACTAACAACTTGTTATATTCTGGTTTGCTTAAGAGCATTTTTCTCTAACAAGATAAAAGAAAAATAAACAAGAAAGTGACTTTCATTAAATGTTATGCAACATGAAAAGGAAGCACATGTCTATAAAATTCTGTAATAAAATATGAAGAAAATAACAATCAATTATAAATTAAAACATTGTATTCCAGAACTAATAGCTGTTACAGAGAGTATAAAAAGAGTTTTCAAGAAATTTATAACCTAGTGGAAATAATAAGTCCTTAAACATTATAACAGTTAAGAAACAAAGTGTTAGGGACAGTTCATCTGGTATGACTAAATGTATGAATATATGAGTTCAAGCTTGCATCATGGGAAGGATGTAAACAGTTAAAGAAAATGAAAAAAGGATGATAGATACGATAGAATAAGCAAAGGCAAGGGAGGAAAGAAGCAGAAGGCATAGTAAAAGGAGTATTCATCCAATGCTCTTGTACTACTGGAGCAAAGGATACATGCTTGGGGGTCCTGAGAGCAAGACTAAGAAAGGAAGTTATGGTACCGTGTTGGACAGTCTTTTTAATTCATGGCTAAACATTCTGTTTATTTAGAAAACAGTGTAACTGTATTATAGATTTTTGTGCAGATACACAAAAACTAGGAAGAAAAATCAATATGGCAATGGAATAGAACACGGGGATAATGAGAACAAGGAGTTCACTTAAAGAAGTTGCATGTTGTCAAAGAGTCTGGGCAAGATAGGACTTCAACTAGAGAGATGGACATGGAGATGGAATGGTGTAAAACACATACTAGTGAATTAGCATGTAAGGACTTAGATAACCAACTGAAGGTCATGGTAAAGAAAAAACAGCTGTAAGAGATGATGTCCATATTCTGTTCCTGAGTTATGAGGGGGAAAACATTGTGTTAAAGAACAAAAATAGGCAGAAAGTACACCTGGAGGAGAAAATGAGTTCAGGGGTTATACATGATGAACTTGATACATGTTGGCAGTCATGTCCAGCAGCCAGTCAGAAATAAGGATCTAAAGTTAAGGAGAAAGTGTAGATATCAGCAGAAAGACCAGAAAGAGAGTAACTTGGGAATCACATGCATAGAGCTTAAAAGTAAATTGTGAGAGAAGACAAAATTTCACAGACAGAAAATGTGGAAAAAGAAAAAAAATGGAGCTTTAAAAAGGCTTGGGGCTATAACAATTGTTGAAAGTAGGAAGCAGAGAAACTACTGAAATAGAAGAAATCTTGAGCAAGTATAAGTCAGAATGGTACAGTGGTATATAATCAGTATAGGGTAATTTCTCAGGTAGATGGTGGTCAGTATTATTAAGGAAAAGAATTAACTAAGGACTATGAAGACCAAGAAAAGACCAACAGCAGTTCATCAAAGTAACTGAGGTCAAGCTAGATTGCAAATGTGTTATAGAGCAAATAGAAATTAAAGGAATTTAGGGAACAAATGATACTCTGAAATATCACTACATTCCTCATCTCACTATTATTTGGGGTAAAATGTTAATTAATTTACTATGAATTTGAAATAGCAACATGATTTTGATAAAACATATGGAAAAGTATCTGTATTTTTGTCCTCTAGCATTTATTTATCATTCTTTTGGAAATCATACTTTGTTTTCCCTTCTAGAGTGTACCCTTCCCTAAAGATGGTGACTTAGCCCAACCCAAGGCATTGAGATACAATGGGATTTCTGGGTAAGAAACTCTCACTGTTTCCCTCTGGTTCCACACAAAGAATGCCACATCAAAGCTTGTCATTCGCACAAAAAAAATAATAAAATAATACTAATTAAAATTAATTTTAAAAAATCCTAAGGAGGCAACTTTTAGCAAATTACAACAGTGTAGACAGATAAAATGTCTAAGGAAAACTAATGAAAGAAATCACAGAACTAAATAAATAAATGGAGAGATACTCCATGATCATGGGTAGAAAGACAATATTGTCAAGATGTCTATTCTTTCTAATTTGGTCTACAGCTTCAATATAATCCCAATCAAAATGTCAGCAAGTTACAAACTGATTCTAATGTTTATGTGGAAAGGTAAAAGACTTAGAATAGTAAACAAAATATTGAAGAACAGTTACTGACTTCAAGACAAACTGTAAAGCTATAGTAATTAAGACATTGTGGTACTGGTAAAAAAAAAATAGACAAATAATAGAGAATCCAGAAAAGGGCCCTCAACTCTATGGTCAACTAATATTCGACAAAGCAGGAAAGACTATCCACTGGAAAAAGGACAGTCTCTTCAATAAATGGTGCTGGGAAGGGAAAATTGGACAGCCACATGCAGAAGAATGAAACTAAACCATTCTCTTACACCATACACAAAGATAAACTCAAAATGGATGAAAGATCTAAATGTGAGATGAGACAAGAATCCATCAAAATCCTAGAGGAGAACACAGGCAACACCCTTTTTGAACTCGGCCACAGCAACTTCTTGCAAGATACGTCTATGAAGGTGAGGAAAACAAAAGCAAAAATGAATTATTGGGACTTTATCAAGATAAGAAGCTTCTGCACAGCAAAAGAAACAGTCAACAAAACTAAAAGACAACCTACAGAATGGGAGAAGATATTTGCAAATGACGTACCAGATAAAGGGCTAGTTTCCAAGATCTATAAAGAACTTCTTAAACTCAACAGCATAGAAACAAACCATCCAATCATGAAATGGGCAAAAGACATGAACAGAAATCTCACAGAGGAAGACATAGACATGGCCAACACGCACATGAGAAAATGCTCTGCATCACTTGCCACCAGGGAAATACAAATCAAAACCACAATGAGATACCACCTCACACCAGTGAGAATGGGGAAAATTAACAAGATAGAAAACAACAAATATTGGAGAGGATGTGGAGAAAGGGGAACCCTCCTGCACTGTTGGTGGGAATGTGAACTGGTACAGCCACTCTGGAAAACTGTGTGGAGGTTCCTCAAAGAGTTAAAAATAGAACTGCCCTACAACCCAGCAATTGCACTGCTGGAGATTTACCTCAAAGATACAGATGCAGTGAAATGGCAGGACACCTACACCCCAATGTTTATAGCAGCAATGTCCACAATAGCCAAACTGTGGAAGGAGCCTCGGTGTCCATTGAAAGATGAATGGATAAAGAAGATGTGGTTTATGTATACAATGGAATATTACTCAGCCATTAGAAATGACGAATACCCACCGTTTGCTTCGACGTGGATGGAACTGGAGGGTATTATGCTGAGTGAAGTAAGTCAATCAGAAAAGGATAAACATTGTATGGTCTCATTCATTTGGGGACTATAAAAAATAGTGAAAGGGTTAAAGGGGAAAGGAGAGAAAATGAGTGGGAAATATCAGAGAGGGTGACAGACATGAGAGACACCTAACTCTGGGAAACAAAACCGGGAAAAAAGGGGTAGTGGAAAGGGAGGTGGGTGGGGAGTTGAGATGACTGAGGGGGGCACTTGACGGGATGAGCACTGGGTGATATGCTATATGTTGGCAAATTGAACTCCAATTAAAAATAAAAAGAATAGACAAATAGAGCAAAAGAACAGAAGAGAGAGTCCAGAAATAGATCCAAATAAATAGAAGTTAACTGATCTTTGGCAAAGGAGCAAGGCAAATAAGGGGGAAAAGATAGGTTTTTTTTTTTTTTTTTTTAAACAAAGGTGCCAGAACAGCTATACTTCCAGCTACAAAAAAAGAATCCAGTCTTTATACTTCTATATATTCTTTATTTTTATAAAAATTAATTCAAAATAGGACACAGATCCAAATGTAAAATGCAAAATTATAAAACTCCTAGAAGATAACATAAAAGAAAATCTAGATGACTTTTGGTTTGGTGATGACTTTTTAGATACAATATCAAAGGCACGATACATGAAAGAAATAATAATTCAGGAAAATTAAAACTTCTGCTCTATAAAAAACATTGCCAAGAAAATAAGAAGATAGCCATTGACCGGGAAAAATACATGCAAAAGACATAGCTGATAAAGAACTATTATTCAAAATATACAAAGAGCTCTTAAAGTTCAATAATAATAAAACAACTCAAAAAATGAGCAAAGATCTGAACAGAAACTTCAAAGAAGATATAGGAATGGCCAAATAAGCATATGAAAAGATGTTCCACATCAAATGTCATCAGGAAATGCATATCAAAGAACAATGACATAACACTGCACACCTATTAGAATGGTAAAATTCCAAAATATTGACAATATTGAATGCTGATGAGGCTGTAGAGCAATCAGAATTCTCATTTATTGCTGGTGGCAATATAAAATCTTACAGTCACACTGGAGAACAGTTTGATGGTTCCTTAGAAAACTAAACACCTACTTAACTATACAATCTGGCAGTCACACTCCTTGGTATTTACTCGGGGGAGTTGAGCACAAAAACCTACACATGAATGTTTATAGTAGCTTTACTTTTTATGTGTGTGTGTATTTTTTTTATTGGAGTTCAATTTGCAACATATAGCATAACATGCATTGCTCATCCCCTCAAGTTAGCAGCTTTACTTATAATACCAACTTAGAAGCAACCAAGATGTTTGGTAGGTGAATGATAAGTAAACTGTGGCACATCCAGACAATGGAATATTATTCAACAACTAAAACTCAGGAAAAGACATGGAGGAAGTTAAATACATATTTCTAGGCAAAAAAAGCCAATGTGAAAAGGTTACATATGCTATGACTGCAACTATATGGCATTCTAGAACTGTAGAGACAGTAACAAGATCAATGGTTACCAGGAGTAAGAGGAAAAGAAAGGATGAATAGGCAGTGCACTGCAGATTTCTAGGGCAGTGAAACTATTTTGTACGATGCTATAGTGGTGGATACATGTCGCTATACATTTGCCCAAATTCATAGAATGTACAATATTAAGAGCAAACCATAATGGAAACTATGTACTTTGGGTGATAATGACCTGTTGATGTGGGTTCATTGACTGTAACAAATGGCCACTTGGATGCCAGATATTGATTGTAGGGAAAGGCTGTTCATGTGGGCATATGGGAACTTTCTGTTCCTTCTGCTCAATTTTGCTGTGAATCCAAACCTGTTGTAAAAAAAATAAGTCTATTCAAAGTTGTCTACGGTCAGCACGGATAATATCAATATTTTGTTTTTTCATAACTTGGCTATTGTAGATAATGTTGCTATAAATACTGGAGTGCCTGTATCTCATTGAATTAATATTTTCATATTCTTTGGGTAAATACCAGTGTGCAATTGCTGGATTATACAGTAGTTCTATTTTTAACTTTTTGATAAACCTCTACACTGTTTCTAGAGTGGCTGCACCAGTTTGCATTCCCACCAATTTAAGATCGTTCCCCTTTCTCCACATCCTCACCAACACCTGCAGTTTCTTGTATTGTTGATTTTAGACATTTGGACAGATATGAGGTGATTACCTCATTGTAGTTTTGATTTACATTTCCCTGCTGATGAATGATGTTGAACAACTTTTCATGTGTCTGTTGGCCACCTGCATGTCTTCTTTGGAGAAATGTCTGTTCATGTGTTCTGCCTGTTTTTTAATTTGATTATTTGTTTTTTTGGGTGTTGAGTTTCATAAGTTCTTTACATATTTCAGATACTAACCCTTAATCAGATATGTCATTTGCAAATATCTTCTCCTATCCCATAGGTTGCCTTTTAGTTTTGTTGACTGTTCTTTTGGGTGTGTAAAAGCTTTTTATTTTGATGTAGTCCCAGTAGTTTATTTTTTCCCTTGCTTCCCTTGCCTCAAAAGATAGATCTAGAAAAAAGTTGCTATAGCCAATGTCAAAGAGGTTACTGCCTATGTTCTTGTCTGGGATTTCTATGGTTCCAGGTCTTTAATATATTTTGAATTTGTTTTTGTGTATGGTTTAAGAAAGTGGTCCAGTTTCATTCCTTTGTATGTTGCTGTCCAGTTTCCCAAACACCCATTTATTGAAGAGATTGTCTTTTTACCATTGGGTATAAGAACTGCATTCTTCAATGTTATAAAATAGACTATGATTTACCAATATTCTTCTTAATTGCCCAATACTGTTGATAATATGAATACTATACCAAAACAAAAATGACAAGTCATGTCAGTAACAGCCAGTAGAATAAACTTGATTGGCTAAATAAAGTAATTGCCTTTTCATTCTAATATTCAAATGCTCTGCATCATTATATTACTGGCAGAGATGAAAGCAGGAAAGAGAGAAGAAGGGAAATAAAACTGTGATGAAAGCAAAGAAATGTTCCAGAAATGAGAGTTAGAGATGAAGTAAAAGGGGAAAAACGGGCACAGATCATGTACAGGTCATGGACAGTACAGAGTAACAAAAGTTAGAGAAAGTGAATCCTGAGGAAGTCGCCAATAATAAAGAATGAGACTTTCACATTTCCCCAATTAATCAATGTTTCTATTAACCTCTTCTGATAAAGATATATATTTGTAAGAATAAAAAAATGCAGAGAAGAAGCTGGACATAAGAAAGCTAAGAAAATGCTATGTGGTCTTTTTCATATAGAGATGGCAGCTTAGTAAACAATGTCCAAAAATGCTCTTCAAGAATGATGTATATAGTTAGATGTTCTGCAGTTGTCAGACACCGGGGACACCTATTAAAAAAAAAAAAAAAGAGGAAGAAGAAGAAAAATGCACCATATTTATTCAGTGTCAGTGAATATACTCCACTTAAATAACATTCTTTTCTTTGAGACGGCAATGGACTAGGAAAACAAATGAAATACTTAAAAAACAGGGTGAACAATGAGCTATTTAGGTAAAGCTGAACATATAATGGCTGATGTGTCTAAACAGAAATTCAGTGGGTTTCACTCTCTGTGTGCACACATGGCAGCAATAGTAGTAGAGACCTATAAGAGGTTCCTTTCATTGAATATGAAGGATGTTTGAAGAGCACAGATTCATTTTCTCAAGGATTACCAACTTTTTGGGAAAAGGTCACCAATAACCATCTTCTCATTTAATTCAGTGATCTACTTTCAATCCTGTCTATCCTAATTTTTCTGGAGCCAATGCATATGTCAATTTTCTCTTGAAATCATTGTGAAAGTAAATCTTAGATTTACTTGCCTTGTCCTCCAAGTGCAATTCCAAAAAGCGTAGATAAGCAACAGGTGCAAATGCATCAGCTGAATGTATGACCACTTCTGATGAATCACTAAAACACAAACATTTTATAATGCATTTATTTACTACATAAATTGTGGCAAATTGTTTTCTGCTAGTAACTAGGAGACCAAAAATCTTCCTTTTGTATTTATTTCCACTAGTAAACAATATGTAGTGATTAACATCATTTTTAATAATCCAATATTTAACTAGGAAAAGGATCAAGGATGCTACATTTGCAAGAAAAAGTAAAGAAGCTTTTGTCTTTATAATGACACATAGTTCAACTTTCAGGTTCACTCAAAGCTCTCTGAGCAGTTTTGAAACTTAAAGTTCGTATTCAATTTCATTTTCACAAATTTGCTTGGTAGGGGCTAACCATTAAACAATAGCGCTTTATCTTCATTATTCCTTTCATTTTCAAGAGGTAATTCATTCAGTGTTTCACACAAAATCTCAATTATCCTTCACAAAAGCAGTACTGGTGACGGTTTTAAGCTCTAGGTGAACTCTTCACACTGCAATATCATTGCTATTAAAATTGATTGTTTGACATAGTAATTACCACATTCAGGTAAAATGGTATGAACTGCTTGCTGGCACCATATGGATACATGTAAATTAACTCAACTTTTATCAAAGATACCCTGTAAAGCACCTATGAATAACTAAGATTATGTGTGAAGTTCAAATAACTAATTACTTTTTATTGTTGTTTATTAAGAAAGCCATTCAACTGAAATTTTAAAAATAGAATTTACCCATATGTCTTAAATGCCTTGGGAACTAGTTCCATTGTTTATATTAATACATTGTTAGCATTTTAACCTTTGTAGGATAGCAAAGTAAATTGTTACTTTATTTGACTTTGCCACTAATGTAAGATATTTTTGAGTTAACTTTTGTAAAGTGAAGTTACTTAGTGGCAATAAAAGGAACCTCAAAATATTTGGCTCCAAAATATTAAATTTTCATGGACAAAATCTGTTTACTTTCCCCTTTGAACGATCAGAGATAGAGGCAAAAAATGTTTGATGATTAAAAATGTCAACTACCGTTCATGAACCTTTAATATCAAATATGCCTCTTGTTAATGCTTAGGAAAAATAACATTAAAAAGGGTTTCTGTGACAAGGAAAGCAACTTAGGCTATAAAAGAAACAGAATTATTAAAGAGTCAGGATCCTGACAGAAAGATAACCTGCCTTCACAGGCTACATTAACCAAAAGACGTCTCTGGTATGGCGGGGGGGGGGGGGGGGGGGGGGGGGGCAGAGAAAGAGAAAGTAAAGAGGCCTGACTTGCTCCTCTGGCTTGTTAGCTCTGGTCTTGTTTTTTTCTACTTACTCCAAAATTGTATCTTGGCTCATCAATCAGACTCAAATCCCAATTCCTATGTACAACCCTCACTCTTACATTAAATTTCAATCTCCCTCTACTCCTGATCTCGGCCTTAGAAACTGACCCTGAGCCTTAATTATGCCTAATCTAGGCAGCTTGGTTTTGCTATCCTTCACAGTGGAGTGCAGCAAAACTATAATTAACCTGGCACCAATGCTATGTCAGTAGAAAGGGTTTCAAGCCCTCCCTTCTCATGCCAGCTATCTGCACTAGAAACAGAAGGCTGACAGCAAATAGCTCATTTAATTAATGTAATTACTGCATTCTGAATAAAGATGGTTATCCAGAGAAATACAGAATATTCTAAGCACTAAATAAAGAAGAATATGATTTTTATGGATTCTATTAAACTCATAATCTCTAATTGACTAACATCATTTCATTCACTTCTACAAAGCCAGCCAACTGGAAGAGACTGGATCTCAAATGAACAGTTTTTAGTTTCAAACAGAATAATGCCACTATTGCTCTTCTTTTCCCTTTCAGAAACTCAAATGAAATTCAACTTTCAAGGATCTTTGGTTTCTGTCTGCTTTGTGGGTTTCTCGGAAATCTAGAGTATGATCTGTTGGAATATCCTCAGAGTTACCCAGAAAATTAAGACTAACTTGTGCCACAGCAAAAATGCTCTTTTCCCTGTTAATGTAAATAGTCAGTTTGGGCAGTGTATCTTATGCAACTGAGGTTTCTCTGTAGCCTAGAGGGCTAGCCCATGTTCCCTTTCATTTCTGCATTAGGCTCACCCCTGGATACAACTTCAAAAGGACAGCTGCTGAGTCAGGCCAGCATCCCAAGGTGTGAGGTCATGTGTGTGTGTGTGTGTGTCTGTGTGTGTGTGTACACAGCCCTGGGGTTATATATATATATATATATATACATATATATATATATATATATGTATATATATATATATATATATCCCCTCACTTCAAAACAAAAAAAACTTATATTCTCTTGAGACATCCATGGTCTTTGTTCCTACCTTTCCTCTAAGAAGACAACTATACAAAGATAGTCCCTGCGGACTCACACGTCTCCTTAGAGACATCTCCAGTGTCATTTCTGTGAAGCCTTCCTTGACATTCTCCAACAGTTCTAGTTTTTTCCTTTTATGTGCTTTAGTAATGTGTTCACACCCTTTTCATTGCACATCCAATATATTATAATTATGTGCCTATATGCTTGTCTGTCTCTTAGAGAGGGACCAAGTTCGGGTCACCTTTGTCTGACTCTCCCCGACCCCACCCCTCTTGGCTCAGTATAGAGTACATTTATTTATCAGAAATGGGTTGAATAAATGACTGTATAGTGAAACTCTGGTAAGTATCTTCACATTACACACTAACTATTAACTCTCACAAACCCACACTGATTTTTTGGCACTGTCTTCTCATGGATATATACTTTCTCATATGCATATACCACATGAACATTTTATCCATATACACACACATGCGTGCCATATACACACTATAATAATACCATATGGTATCCCTGGCCTAATAAAGATAACATTTAATAGATCTAAAAATTTAAATATAAGAAAAATAGTTCATAAATTTAAATAAATCCCAGGTGATACAGGATAGATGTCAGAAGGTAAGTACCTGATTCATTCCCACTGCTAAATGCCACATTGTTATACTCTGTGCTGAGTTATGTCTTGAGTGGGGAAAATAGGAGAAGGTGGGAAAAATAAATACAAAGTGTTTTAACCATAGGATTTAATCCTTCTTTCCTTATGTCCTTCCTTCCCCCCCTTTCTCCTTCCCTCCCATTCTTCCTTCCTTCCATCCATCCCATGTGTAGCAACTTTACATCAGTAGTATAGTAACACTGATAATTCAAATGGAAAGATGGAGTTGTATCAAATACTGATATTTTATAAATATGTTCATTAATAGAAGAAAATCACTTTCATTAATACAACATTAAGAGTTCAGTTCTTATGTCTGATATACATACATATATATTTTAAAGGAAGCAATAAGAAAGTAGGCTCTTTATTTGAGGACCTACAATTGTCCCAGAATTATCCTCCTTTTGTAAAGCCTAGGCTATAATTCTTTTCCTCAAGGCCTCTCAGAATAAATCCTTCACTTTCTAATATAAAAATCTGCATCTAGAAGTGAGTAATCACATATTTATTGACATGAAAAATGAATTGTAAAATGTTCTAGTTAGAAAAATTTTAAATTACTTCCAAAGACTGCTATATCAGTCTTTCCTACAAGATTTAAAAAATGTTAATTGGGGCAAAATGTATCTCATAAACTTCCAGAACCACCCTAGTTTCTCTAAATTACTTTGGGATCCAAAAATGATTCAATCTATGTTTTTGAAAAAAAAAATCCCTAATAATAATCAAGCCATCTTGCAAATAAGTTTACTTTTTCTCCCCTTAGAGGCAGTTTTCTCCTTTTCATCAAAAAAAATTTGTACCAGATATTTGATTTGTACCAGATTTCTTTTTTTTTTAATTTTTTAAAAGATTTTATTTATTTATTCATGAGATACACAGAGAGGCAGAGACACTGGCAGAGGGAGAAGCAGGCTCCATGCAGGAAGCCCAATGCGGCACTCGATCCCAGGACTCCAGGGTCACGCCCTGGGCCGAAGGCAGATGCTAACCCACTGAGCCACCCAGGGATCCCCCTGAAATGAGATTTCTAATAATCAATTAGTTTTATGCCAACTGTGGCAGACCACTATTAAATAGAACAAGAGAAGCTGTTAAATTTGACCAAAGAATGAATTCAAAGTTACAGGATCCAGTATTCTTAATGGTCAACTGTCAACAAATAGTTACAAGAACTAAACTTCTTTTAATTGTATCATCTCTAAATAAAATAACTTTCATTTACATATAGTTTTGGAATGTGCAATATATATTCACTCATAGTATCACATTTAATGCTTATTAAGTAGGTATGATAAGGACATTTTTTATTTTAAAGAGGAGGTAAGATTTTATTTTATTTATCTATTTTTAAAGATTTTATTTATTCATGAGAGACACAGAGAGAGGCAGAGACACAGGTAGAGAGAGAAGCAGGCTCCATGCAGGGAGCCCAATGTGGGACTCGATCCCGGAACTCCAGGATCACGTCCTGAGCCAAAGGGCAGGCGCTTAACCGCTGAGCCACTCAGGCATCCTGAGGAGGAAAGATTTTATACAATAGGTGACATGCTTTTTCCACTAAACTAGGATATGTCCCAACCTATAACCTCCAATTACAACCTAAAAAGAACACATGGGATAAGTAAGTGAAAACGGGGTAAGTAAAAACAAACAAATAATAAATAACAAATTAATTCAATAATATTTAACAAATATTTATATTAGTGACAACTACATGTTCTAAGAGTTCAAGAATGAGAACAAGTAGAGGGGATAGCAGCAAAAGCCTTTAAAAATGGAAGGATTTTTACAGCATAGGAAATATGGCCATTGGTACTATAGTAGTAGCAAACAGCACTGCATGGTAACAGAGGGTGGCTACATTTGTGGTGAGCAGAGCATAACCTGTAGATTTGTCAGATCACTAGGCTGTACACCTGAAACTAATATAATGTTTTGTGTCAACTATATTTCAATTTTTTTAAAAGGAAGGATTTAGCAAAGAGGAGAAAAATGGGAAGGCAAGCTAGAGAAAAGGCATCAAGAAAGTTATGAAGATAAGGTGAGGCACAGCCTATGAAGAAAAAAGCATAGAAAATACTTAAGTGTCAAAATTAGATGAGTGATTAACTGATAAATGAGTAGGAGTGAAAAGACAGTGCTTCTTCTGTGTTCTCAAGATACACATCTGTATGTTAGCACTTAGGTATTGTTGATTTGCCCGTCTCTCCTGTTACACGAAGACTTCTACAGAGTGGAGCAGTAGCTTGCTGAGTTCCACCCACATAATACACCTCAACAAACCATTATTCAATGGAACTGAAAAGCTCATTTCAGCACTAGAGGGTTTTAAGATACCTCTCCTGGCATCCCTCCTATAATAGCATGACTAATTTCTCTCATGCCATTGTCTCAGCCAGGCTTAGGTTTCCTTGCCTACAAATGATGTCTACAAAAGTTTCAGTTTTCAGGTCTAAAGCACTATAATAAATAGACCTTCTGGTTATGTAATACAGTGCATTTCTTATAATTCTAGGTTATTCATAAAGACCTCTAGGACTTCAAGTTGTCAAGTAAATGGGAAAAGTTGTATTCTTTGGCATTTTTCATTTATCGTTTTTTAAAACTAATTTCAGTTAGTTCCATATTAAAAAGTAAATATACTGCAAGTTTCTCATTATACTGTAATTTCACCCTCACATGCAAATAGGTTTCTTGAATAACAAAACAGTATTTTTTTTATAGAAGACCTAATGTACGCTTAATTCATGAATCATTTTGTGACAAGTAGTCAGAAGAAATATCTTTCACATATGAACTTATAACTTTTATCCTTTACCATCTTGTATCTTAATTGTACACAGATATGTCTTCCACTCAACCTCTGAAGGCAGGCACTATCCTTGAACATCAATGGTGCCCAGTAGAATGCTTTAGACACAATAGGTACTTGCCAAATAAATTATTCTGTCAATGATTATTAAATGGAAAAGAAGTTAGAAGAAAGAAGTAAGAGTGGATGAATATTAAAAATATGATAATGAAAATGTCTTGGCCATGTTTCACTAAATAGACATTTTTTAGAAAATTCATTTAGAATTGTCTTAATTTTCTTAGATCACTCCATCACTCCTCTGCTCATTATTAACATGTACAAAGGAATCACCCCTTAGTGGTGAACATGCTGAAGCTGTCCACTCAATAGAGGATTCCAATCTTTCATCAGATGAGCCTCCTGAAATCAAGCATAATTCTGCCAATCTTTTCCAAGAAAAGAGCTTAGGAAAAGCAAAGTGCTCTCTTGGCATAGGAGAAGGACAACAGAAATTAGAGTACAGATAACAATGTTAACAGGGTGAAAAAAAAGTTCTTGTTTCTCACTAATTTTAACAATCTGTGGCAAAGAAATCACAGTGCTTGCCATAAACTGAATTCACTCAGAAACAAAGTTTATATGTAAAAATAACCTCAAATAATAAAATAGAAATGTTTAGCATTACTATTCCAAGTTGTAAACGCCAAGAAAAGGGAAAAAGAGGATGGAGTTAATGGAACCCACAGGCTACTGATGTGGCAGTTTATCAAATGTAGCTGTAATGAAAGATAAATAATACAGGCAATTCACACTTCATGAAAGGATAAAAGTGTCAGTGTGCAGGTACCACTTTTACTGCAGGGCATAATCAGCAAGTAAACGAAAGTGCAATGTCTAAAAAGTTTATAGCCTTCTATGAAGGCCTCATCTTGTCAGGTATTGATTTAGGTATTCAGACAACTTCACTGGTATTAAACAAATTGAGTGTTTGTGAACTTAGAGGACACATTCTATTTCTCCCAACAAAAGTTGCCTCAAGCTTAATGTTAAGTTGTTTCCATCACTTAAATGTAAGGAGAGGGAAGAAAATGCTGAAATGGTATCTTACACAATTATTTTCTTCTTAAATAGAGGGCAATCCAAAGTGAATGTTTCATACTCTCCACCTTCTCCACAAACATGGACTCCATACTTCTTAGAAAGCTAGAGATAGGAAAACAATAACAAAACAACAACAACAACAAAACAGGAAACTTAGATTAGTAAAAAGGCTCACTTAATATTATTTTTTCCTAAAAAAAATCCATGCAAGAAACTTTAATTCCAAAATCTATCACAAGCTATAGGAAAGCAACTATATTTCTACTTAGAGCAGGTGTTCTAACATTTTATGTATAATGAGGAAACTTAGAGATTACTATAAATTTTAAGAAGGACACTAGCTTTCGATTCAAAGAAGGCTAAGGAGGAAAGGTACTTAGTCATTAGGTAGTAAATGAAAATATATGTTGCCGACGTGTGCTTCCCTTTACCCTTTGACCTATATGTGAATGGGAGAAAAACACGTTGTGTTCAGAGCATTTCTCAGAGACACAGAGAAAGCAATCTAAGGCCTTTCTTTTGGCCTGTGAACAGAAAGGAGTCACAGACATGGTTATTATGCTTGAGGTTATTATTAGTGAAGTTGCAAAGGTACTGAGAACAAATGAAGTTCCAAAGCTGTAGACAAGCTTAGGAAGGTCCGCTTCAAGAAAAGTTGGGATAGCTTATCGTGTTGTCTAATTAAACCTGAAATTAAAAAAGAAGCAAGCAAAGAAACAACCAACCTGTGGTTTGCATTAAATATAAGCTATATTATCTAAATAATCTTGATACAGAGAGTAAAATAATTTCCCATTTGACTGGTATGTGGCTGGAATCAGTGCCGGGGAACATTCTCAACTGATTGTGTCAGAGAATCTTCCTGCTCTTGTGTTGAGGCTTTATTATCATGCTCCATCTCCTTCATTCTGAATTTCACAGCTTTCCCTGCTTATAGCCTCTCCTTGTCCAAAGTCCTCATTGCCCAAAGTAAGAGTGACTCCACTGATGTTCACTGTTACTGCTGATGTTCGCACTATGGGCTAAATCTTCAGTTTTATTTGAATAGTTATGCATTTATTTCTCTGGTTACTTTTGTGGTTGTGCTGTAATTCTGAATCCATTATATTTAAACTCTTGACTATGTGCCCTTAGGGATTTAAAGCATGGGTCTGTGAGAATTCTACTGCTCTTTCCAAGATCACCAGTAATGTGAATGACACCATAAAGTCAAATAGTAAGAAAAGTGAGGGAAAGAAAACTGGTTGGCATTTTCTTTGAGCTCATAGAGCAAAGCAGAAATTTTCACCATGTAGAGTCATGAAGTAGAGAAGCAATTGGTCCTGATGGGAGCAGATAACAGGAATAGATTACTTTCCCATAGGGATGCCTGGGTGGCTCAGAGGTTGAGTGTCTGCCTTCAGCCCAGGGCGTGATCCTGGAGTCCCGGGATCAAGTCCCTCATCGGGATCCCTGCATGGGGCCTGCTTCTCCCTCTGCCTCTTTCTCTCTGTGTGTCTGTCTCTCATGAATAAATAAATAAAATCTTTAAAAAAATTACTTTCCCATCTTAAATCAAATTAAATTAATATCTGCTTTGTAATAAAAATGTAGAAATAATGATGGGATATGGGTTTCAGGGATGTTTCCTCATTCTGCTAGCTAGGGTTTGTCCTTTTTTTTTGGTGATATCCCTCTCACTGATTTTTCTCATTCCAGCAACTTTCCACCAAATGAACTTTCTGATCTCACCTTTGTGGTATTTTTATGTTGGAGTATACCCTATCAACTATTAGCTTCCTTTTACTGGAAAATGCTTTACTTAAGCTTTGCATAATTTCCATAATCTACCACCAAAGAATAACTGGATTTTTAAATTAAAATTGGCATAGCTGTATAACTGAAGTAGTTCTATTAGCCTTTGGTAAAAAGAATATCAACTGTTAAGTTAAACCAACATATTATCATTATAAAAAGACTGCCAGTACTAGGAAATCTAAAATTTGAATGTATCCGGTGATATTTTCAGTTCACACAAAATATTTTCATAATATTAATTCAATAACTTCTTCAACCAGTATTTATTGAACAATGATTATTAGGCAGGTTGTGTTAGATGAAGAAGACCTGAAAGTAAGCAAGATAACATCCCTGGTCTTTTGAAGCTTATCAAATATACTACACCCTATATTTAAACACCGCAAGATAATGAAAGAGTGATGAAGCTTCTATAAATAACCCACACAATCTCTTTGCCCTTTTTATTACAGATTCATCAGCATGAACACAGATTCTAGGTCAAGAAATTCGAATAAAGAGCTCAGTAATTTCTACAGCTGATGAACCAAGAAGTTCTCTGACTATGAATCCTTAGGATGTCTTTTGCAGCCACTCTAGACTCTACTAGCTTCAAGCTCTAATAGACATAAGTCCTCAGAGAAAAATCCATCTTTATTGGCTTACTTTTAGCCGCTTCAAGGCCCTCTGATGTTCCAAGAGAACTTTCTGAAGAAGTGAAGCCCAAGCTAGCCAACCACTTTCTGTAATGAATCTTCTCTAAGACATAGCAATCTATCAGAAATCAACATCCTTGTAGCACAAAAGCATGATGTATGCCCATTCTAGAAAGGGTCAGTTTAAAGAAGTGGAGAATCCAGAGACAGGTTAATGGTAAAAATATTCAATTTACTTTTCTAAAACCTGTAAATTTATGTTACTAATACTGTTCACAGAAAGTTGCAACTTTATTCCTAACATGTCTCAGGTCTGTGTCTGGTTTCAAAAAAAATTGCCATTATTGTATGCCAGCACTTAATCATTACAAATACAGTTTTGTAACTCTCTTTTTTATAAAAAATGCTAAATAGGTAACAGTTTTTCTAGTTTAGTTTCTCACTGAATTGTCATGATTCTTTCCATAATTTAAGTATATAAAATAGCAATCTATATTGAAAAGTTACAAACATTTTTCTTTTGTCTATTTCTCAATAAGGTCTAATATTCATTAATGATTAAAATGTATTTAACAGTTTTAGTTAATACATAAAAAGTCGAAGTAGGCAGTTATTGTCATCAAAACAGCAAAAACATGCCAGACAGTTTATAAAATCAGGATTTGTTTGTTTGTTTGTTTGTTTCACATAAGGAGAGCTGAGAATGCAAAGAAGTCTGGATGAACTAAATTCCAGACCAGGGTGAGCCTTTCCTAGGTGAGTAAAGATCAATAGCTACCTTCTTATTGGGCAAACAGCATACTTCCACAGATGGGGGACTTCTAGCAGTGTGTGTAGAAGGCAGCCAAACACATGACCATCTGTGGACTTCTGTGATGGCTTATTAAGAGTCCTGAGGAGACCCAGGGAGTCTGTTTAGCCTGCCAGTTCCTTCCCATAGCTTGCCAGCTCTTTCCCAAAGGCCTTAACCAAGTGCACATTGTGGCTACATGCAAAAGGCTGTGGCCAGGACAGAAGGAGAGAGAGAGATTCCTTTGGAAACATCAGCTCATCACATCTTTTCTATTGAGCTTTCCCTTTGCAAAAGGCTGGGGACAGGGCAAGAAGACAGAGATTTTTTTCCAAGGCGTGGAAGGTCAGGAAGAAGGCAAGGAGAGGCTCATAGCAATAAGCAGGCACAAAACACTGGTGGCAGGATAGTAAAGCAGGGGGAGAGGGTGAGAGAAAAGAAAGAAGGGGGGATGGGGAGGAGAGGAGGAGAGGGGAAAACAGGTGAGGGGAGGAAAAGGAGAGAGACAGAGATAGAGACAGAGATATTTAGACTCAATGAAGCAAGCATAGATCACAAGCCCTGATAAATGAAGAGCCCTGATACTACTCTTAAAGCATTTGAAAACAAGTAGTAAATGGAAAAAAATGCAATCAGATCAGACCAACCTCAGCTGGATATTAAACAGAATAAATACCCCAGGCTAGCTATCAGAGGAAGGGATATGGCTTTTGGGGAGTAAATATTATTTACTTTAGTCTCTACTGTTCTTTTTTATTTCAGTACCTACCATAAAATATGTTAAAAAATTAAGAGATGCCAAAAAGTAAAAACTGGCCTATAATCAATAGAAAAACAAACAGAAAAATAGAAATAGATCCAATTTTAATCAAATACTGCACTCAGTAGGCAAGGACTATAACATAACTAATGTAAATATGTTAAAGGATTTAGTGAAAAAGACAAATGAAATTCATGAACAGAGAGTAGTTTCAGCAAAGATGGAAACCAAGGATAGAGAGATCTAGGTTCATATCCTGGCCCCAACACTAATTATTAGGCATGGGACCTGGGATAAATTACTTCTCTTCTCTGAATTTCCATTTTCCTAGGTAATACCTACACGCTTATGGGCATGTTGTGACTGTTAAGACAGATAAATGATACATGCAAAGCTTTTAACTCAGTCCCTAGTGCACAGGAAACACTGAGTACATAGTATTTTTTCTCTATTAGATTAATTTGCCCTTCCCTTGGGCCTTCTGCTCTTTTATCTACGTACTCCTTTCTTTGAGGATCATGACCACTTCTATATCGATTACTTCTATGCAAATGGTTCTCAAAGCAAAAACCTTAGCTCATGATCTCTCTCCCATATATTAGTCCCCACTCAAAATTCTTATTGAGTGTTTTATTTGGGAGTCTTGTCTTAAATTTAACATGAATAAAACAAAGTTCTTAATTCTTTTTTCTTATAACCATTTCTCCCTATTTCTGTAATGCTCAATTCCCTGTTTCTGTAATTGTTCATTCATACTGAAAGCTAGAAATACTAAAGAACTTAACTCCTTCCTTTCTGTCATTCTTTCTGCAACAGAGCCTACATTTTAAACTTTTTCATTAATTCATTTATTGAATCAACAAATCTTTACTTGGTACTTACTAAGTGCCATATCCTGTTCCAAATGCTAGGCGTATGGCAGTGAATAAGGACAAAGTAAACAAATGTATTCCATTCTAACATCCTTCATGATCACTTCACACTTGAACTATTATTACAGTCATCTCTTATCTTCCTCCTTAGTCTTTACACTTCCCAATCTTTCCTATATATCATCATCATACTAATTTTCCTTAAAAATAAATGACCCTGGCACTCATCTGCTTAAAACTTTTTGGTG